AACTGTTCTGCCCTATATCTGCTGGGAGTGTGAAATCCAGACAGATGATGTTGATGGTATCTTGAAGCACGATTCTGCTCCAGTGTAAAATGCTGGTTTAGATCTACTCCATTAGGCTTTGGGTCTATGTGCTGAATGCAAAGGAGGGGAGAGCAACAAACTCTTTAAAACGGACTGAGTACTTTATGGGGATACATGATTATATGTTCTTGTACTTCTTTTAAATTGACATTGTCATTGTGGATACAATATTGTATGAAACTGGTAAGGAAGAGAAATAGAAAATTATTTCATCAAGCAAAATTGCCACAGTATGTGTATTATTGTACATATACAGTAATATACCTCTGAAGTATATTGTCCTTTTAATGGACATATAATTATACTGTAGTAAAGCACTAAAATATACATACTGAATGTGATTTGAAGAATTTCACGACCACTCCAAATGTACACAGTTGTAATCGATTTGTAATAGATATACTAATGAACTATAATTAACTGTTTTCTACACTTAGACTCAATGGATTCAGAGTCAAAATTTAAAATTGGATTGTTCTACCCTCAGGAAGACTCTGTGAGGCAGGACCTCCAGTTTACAATGAGTGATAATGTTGTTGTGAGCACAAATCTATCTAGCTGCCTGAAATTTGAACAACATCGATGCTTTTTTTTTGACTGCAGCATGATTCAGACTGACTGGACAAAGAACTCCTAAGACATGCTGATATGACAGAAGTTTAAGTGACATATTCTAAAAAGATACAGAAGTAATTCACACTGAATTCAAAATGTGCATATTAATATTGTTGGTACTATTTGGCATACTGTAGGATTTTGATAATGCCTTCTTTCAAAAAAGACAAATTCTTGGTTTAAATACTGCAAATTTTGGAGTATCACATTATGTTTGTACTTAAATTTCTGGTTATTTCAGCAACTCAAACTTCCCTATCAGCTTCATGCACCAGGGTCCCTTTCTGCATGTTCTGCCTGCATTCCCCTACCACTCTTAGGTGAAATGTCAAACCTCAGGCACCTCTATTGTGCTAAGGCAGCTGAGTAAATCCACAAAGACATTTAAACTTTAAAGGCCAAACCTGTTCTTACTTACCTTTGTCTTCTTCTTTTCTGCTTTCTTTCTCCCACATCACGCTGTGATAGTTAAAACTACTACTTTCCTCAGCGTGAGAGTGCAGTGTTAGGAAGCACTTATAACTGTTCTTTAAGGTTAACAAAGTTTCAGTAAGCGATCTAAGGAAGTCACTTTTGGCAAGCAATCAGGCTCGGGGCAAGCATAAATCCTGTGGGTATAGTCGCAGCATTACAGATGCCCACAGTGCCTGTATGTGCTGATGAGTACAAAATTGAAAAAGAAAGACCCTAATAACTCTGAGGCAAGTTTCCCTCAGCAGCAGATATTGATTATTTGTGTGTAGTGAGAGATTTGGAAAATTCAATTAAAGGAGTTGTGCAAAAGATTCATAAATTCAGCTCCTCCAACCCGTATCGAGACATGGTTATGCTCTAAATCAATGCTGCACTTCACAATATATTTTGTTAGGAACATAAAAATAAATAACATTTAAACAGTTCTGCTTACTACAGAAACAAATTTTATTTTCTCTGACGCTTTTTAGTAACAGCCAAGTACTGACTTGTGCACATCTTCAAGGTGGTATTTTTATTGCAGTCTTTCCCATAATAAAATCCTATGTAATAT